CCCCTGCTGGCTCTGCAGAAAGAACTAAGCGCTCAAACACCACTAATCGCTCAGTTCTCCCCTCCGCTCTGAGCAGAGAGATAAATGTCTTCGGCTCTCTGCTCTGCCCCTCCAGCACTCTTTGGATCACTGGCCTGTGGAGGGGGCAGGAGTGGTTGGCTCAGGCTCTCGGCAGATTGCTGAGAGTCTGAGCCATGTGCCAGTCCAGGCTTCTGGGCAGATCTTGACCAGATGATCGGGATCTTTTTAGAGCCTGGAACGAGTGATATCAAACCCCCTGCTGGCTGAAAACGGGTCACATGAATGCAGAATAAACTCCACTCCTGTGACCTACAGGAGAAGTATAGCCAAAAAAAGCTTTGGCTAAACTTTTCCTTTAAGCAGTCTCTAGAAAATGAGAAAAGGAGCCTATAGCTCTACCTGCTGCCTAAAAATTCCAAATATAAATGTGAAAAATTTAATATTTACCTTACTAACAAAAGTAGAAAACATGTATTATTTAAAATCCAAGACCATAATAAATGTAGAAAGAAAATGTACAAAACTGCTGAACATTTCCTTTAAATTCAACTAAACAATTTTGGCCTGACCTTGTTTGTGAATCCCCACAGGTACAAATAGCTGTTGTGTTGTGGAAGTCATGAGCCCAGAAGATTTATGTTCCTGTGTCCTCTGCGGTAAGGCTTTCTGTCCCCTGCCATGTGTGACAGCAGCAGTGCGATCTTTGAGTAGACACAGTGAAGGCAGGGTCAGGAAAGGCCAGCATTTCCACAAAATGACTCATTGTTCAGTAAAGTGCACCTGTAGTTGTACACAAAGCATTCGTTTTGTGACTTTGTAACACTAAAAATAAAACACAGCTTGAACATGGAAAATAAAAATAATTAGAGATTTCTGGTGTAAAGGTTTAAGCAGAGAAGCAGGATGTGACTAGATTTTAGACTTCACAATTTTCATGTGCTGAAAAAATTCTGCTTCCATCCCAAATTTAACCCCATTTTAAGGCATTTTTTGTAGTGCAAAGAATATCAGCACTTCTCACTGGAGAAATTAAACGCTCTCCTAAAGACATGAATACAAATGATGTAAATGAACTAGAATAATGTTAATATAGGTACCATCATCCCAAAATATTACTAGGTGTGTTTGTGCAATTAATGGGACTTTCAGCCTGGGTTCATTTGCAAAGGAATGCGGTGTGCATTCCTTTGCAAATCACATGCAATTTATGTGCAGTACGATTAGAGTCATACAATTTGTATGGCTCTAATTGCACCGCACCCGCACCAAAAATGTGCAGGACCCTTTTTTTGGTCCACACTAGAATTGGATCGCATGGGTATACATACTTATGCAATCCGATTCTGTACATCGCACCGCGTTTTATGGACCGCTTTCGGGGTGTTGTTAACATACACACCCACAACCTTGCCTGTGTGGATGGAGGTATCCATTCAGTTTTTTTTTTTTTCGATCAGCCCACTGGCTGATTGAAAATACTAAGCCATGTATGGCCAGCTTTAGTAAGAGGTGTTTGGAATCAAGACTGAGAAGTAAGGTAACCGATGCACAATGCACTATACCTATACATTTAAACTGATTGTAAAGTCCTGTTTTTTTTTTTTTTTTTTTATTAACAAATGTATTATACCAATCTGCTCTGTGCAATGTAATTGCCTCGAACCTCTTCTACTCAGATCCCCTGCTACTGGCTCCTCCTCCCTTCTGAGTGCCCCCATAGCAAGCTGCTTGCTGTGCAAACTATGGAATTAATGGCCACACTTTAGTTTTGCTGTAAATGCATTTGCAAAACCAAAGGAAGATTGTTGTAGACATACAGTACGTATGTTTGTGTTGGATAGTTTTGTTTATTTCAGATCAATAACTTCATTCTGGTTAACAAGTTGAGCTTTCTCAATGAAACACTTAGGGAAAATTCACTCCGGAGCTCACACAGCTGTGCTTGTGCATGCACTACTTTTGGAAACTCACTGCAACCAGATTGCACTGTACTTCTGTACCACGCAATCTAGTGCGGGCAAACGCATTACATTTGCAACCTGTCATTGACTTACTATTGATGCCCGCTGCAGATCAGAACTGTGGTGCATTTGAACACAGTTCAGGAAACATGCACGGATCACTGGTTTCCTGCACTGCATTCTGGTGTGAACGGCGATCTGCTGATTGCTGGTGCAATGGTTTAGAGGCTCCAGAAACAAAAAAATAATAAATGCACATTTTTTTCCCTGCAAAAAAATGTGCATTTAATATTTTTTGTTAAAAGGCGAACTTATCCTTTAATTGCAAATTAAAGCTAAATAAACACTGACCTGTAACAAGCATTTACAATTGGTGTGGGCAGTGGAACTTCCCACCATAGTATGTCTTAAGAGAATGGATCTGTCACTTGGCTCTTAGTCTTCCCAGAATGTGGTCCTGGCTCTTACAGTATGGCAATAGTGGAGTATCAGCTGGATAAAAGTATTCAGCATAGATCAGATCTTCTGCTTCCCCCACTAAAATGAAATGTGAAGTAGGGGTTGCAATACACTGACTGGGACTGTCCATCAAGCTCCATTTAGCACTTTTAGTTCAGATACAACTCTATCCTGAAATCTCTCTCTTTTTCTTGGCCTGGTCCTATTATAAGGCAAGGTCCTGGCTGGTCATGGCTAGTCCCAGTGTGACTTCACTGCGGCTCAGAAGCAGGCTACCTCTCCAAGTTGTAGAGCTTTCTCTGTCTTCTATAGCCATCGGAACCTTACCACTCTCTCTGCTAAGGCCTATTGCTCTTAAACCGAACTCTGATACACCTGCCACATCATGGAGTGCACACCCTTGGATGAGAAGTCAAACTTAGAAGTGATGAAAGCTAAGAGCCATCCTACCAGATCTGTGTTTGTCCCCATGATGAACACATGGACCCTGGCTAGTGTGATAAAGGTGCCTAGTGGTCTGATGACTAAGGGTCAAAAGACAATTTGATCTGCAGATATCTATCATAATGGAACTCCTCAGCTCTGATATCCCAAATCTATCTCCTGTATCCAGGGGTGGACTGACAACTCATGGGTCCCCTGGGCAATAAGGGATCATGGGGTCCCAAAACTCAAAAAAACCTATGAAAAAGGTACCAGGGGCATCTCATGGGGCCCCCTACTGACCCCGGGCCCTCGGGCAGTGCCCGAGTTTCCAAATGGTCAGTCCACCCCTGCCTCTATCCCAAACTGAGCCTGGGCCAGTAGATCAGGCATCTCACTTTTAGTTTCTCTTGGTATCCCCAGGAGAGGCAGTCCTGGGGACTGAGGCACTACTGCGGTAGTGGGTTTTTGATTCTTGGCTGCTAGCAGGGCCTCTTCCTTTCAGATTATCTTGCTCTGTATGGAAGAGTTAAGGGATCTCTGGTTGAGGATCTGGCCCAGTCATGGGATAAAAGTGGACAATCTTTTCTCTTCCTTCTGTTAAGTGTACTTGAACAGGTAAATCATCTCAGCATGGCTTTTCACCCATCTGTAGACCTCTCAAAGTGTCTCCAGACCTTCTGTGGCAGTGCAGTATGGCCTGTTGCAGATAATGTCTAACTGTGGTGCTCTCATGGTCTTGATAGTGTCAGAGACCTCCCATTCTTCCATGGCCTGTGTCTGCTGATTTCTGTACCCACAGGTAGTGATCAAAAAAGAATTTCTTGTAAAATGTTACATCAGTCTTCTCACATTGGGGAAGGGGAGGCTGTCCAAATGATACTGATGCAGGGGTGTTAAAGGTTGCAAATTTAATTATAGTACAAAAGAAAGGGATACGTCCCTTTAAAGACTATGTTCACCTTTTTTTTCTAAATTCCAGCCTCACTGTGTACCAATATACCATCAATGTACTTCTGTTGCAGAAAATAAAACAATTTCTATGTATTTTAGGACAAGCCTCCAGTTTGTTCCAAAGACAAGTTCATGACTTTATGACATGAAAACTGTTAGGACACAGGAAATAATTCAATAGCTGATAATATTAGCACACCCTGCATTTGCCCTCCTCCTCTGTACTCACATGCAGACAGTAGTATTGAAAACAGAAGTGTGTATCTGGAAGTCTGTAAAGCTCACCATACACTATATAATCTGATTGTACAATCTCCTTTAGATCTACCATTAACTATGAAGCGCAAGGGACTGTCTGATAGGATACGGAGTGATTGGATATAGTTTTGGTAAATCTAAATGAAATTGTACATAGATTGTACAATCAGATTGAATGTTGTATGTGTGTATTATACAGCTAAAATGAACTAATCATGTTTTCAATGCCAATAATTGTTTCCACAAAAAATATATCCCAGACCTTTATCCTTGATAAGGGTCTGGTACAGAGTTCAAAATGAACCCCATGCACAAAACACGAAAAAAAGAGTGGGGTCTCCTAAAATGCATAATAGACCATTATCTGAACATGCAGTCTGCACTGCAGATGAATGAACGGGAGGTGGTCTGTGCAGAGGCTTCCTATTCATTCACAAACTGAGGCTTAGTAAACACATATTACTATCCTTCAGTTATGAATGAACACAGGGAGTGATCAGTACCAATCACTCACCATGTTCATTCAGAACAGGAAAGGGGTTGATAAATATGCCTTATTCCCCCCTCAGGATGACGGAACTTCTCTTTACTTTGGCAAGAGCATCTAGAGGAGCAGTGGTGATGCCAATGGAAGTGGCCTTTATTAATTTCAAAATCTATGGTAAAAAAAATGGTAAAATTTTCCACTCACAGACTGAATTGAATATCTGAAAAATTCTGTGCTCCTTTATCTATTACTGGCTGCACATCTCCCAGGCCTGACTGTCAATTCTCTGTTTAGGGTAAAAAAACAACTTGATACATTTTTTGGGAAATGTAAATATTCTGCAGATATCTGGGTTAATGGAAAGGTAATAAAGAGGCTTTGGTTATTCCTTCTCTTAGTAACCCTAGGTTCAGACCTATGCATTTTCCACAGCGTTTTGCAGTACAGTCCATTTAACAAGATTTCATATGGGACATGCTCACATCTCCGTGTTTTCACCCAGTGCGTTTTATTGGAAAGGGTCAGGGACTTTTTCGAATGCAAAAAGTTGCATTTTTGGTTCTATAGACTTCAATGGAAATGCGACAGAAAAGCATGTAGTGTGTTTTTGCTGCATTTTTTTGCTGTGTTTTTGATGCATTTTGCTTTTTAAATCTGCCTAACAACAAAAAAAATTTGAAAAAATTAGAAAACCGCAAAACCGCCTAAAAAATTCAGGTGAAAAAATGCAATACACAGCGCAAAATGCAATGCAGAAATGGATCAAACGCAACCTGCATAGGTGTGAACCCTTATTAAGAGGCATTGGAGACCTTTTTGAGCACAATAATTGAAATCTGGCCACAGGCTGGTATGAAGGACCAGACTTTTACCCTGTTGTTCCTGGGAGCAGGGGCGGACTGACCATTTGGAAACTGGCACTGCTTGAGGGCCCGGGGTCAGTAGGGGGCCCCATGAGATGCCCCTGCTACCTTTTTCATAGGCTTTTTTTGAGTTTGGGCAAATGATCCCCTACTGCCCGGGAGCCCTGTGAGTTGTCAGTCCGCCCGTGCCTGGGAGTGGCATGTTTATATAAATTCCATAACTTGGACGCTTTGGGAGTTGGAAGCAAAATAGTCTGACATGGGATTCCATAACCCCTCTTCTGTGACAAAAATATCTTTTACTTCAATTCCTGCTGTCAGGTCTGCAATACTCTGCAGGCAGAATTTATAATACTGGACAGTGGCCTTGCCTGCTAATGTAAATCTGAAGTATATGTCTGGCTCAATCTAATCAGTGCATTTTTTTTCTCTGAGGCTCAAAACTAATATTAAAAACAGAATTTTTGGCATATATGCATATTTATTTATAACTGCATTTTTTTCATAGTTACATAGTTAGGCTTTGTTTACGCTTCTGCTGCCCTCTAAAAAGCAATCTGAAGTAGATCAGTTTTACACTAAAGGCCAGAAGGTGGCAGAAATAGGCGCATGGGCCTAGTGCATTACCTTCTAAAAATGAGATTTATTGAATAAGAAGTAGTATACTCACAAAAGAATAAAATCAAAGGCACATCACAAAAAAGACAGCATGGTCCAATCTCCCTAGATGGTGGCTGTTGGGGGACTGTAGACCTCCAAATGGCTGACGCGTTTTGAGGCAGAACCTCTTCCCCAGAGCCAGAGTTTGCCTTTGATGTGCCTTTTGATTTTATTCTTTTGTGAGTATACTACTTTTTATTCAATAAGTCTCATTTTTAGAAGGTAATGCACTAGGCCTGGGAGCCCTCTGTTTGTTTCTTTGCACACAGCTCCTTTGGATTTCTCTGGTCTGTTGAGAGCAGCAAGGCTTGCATTCCCAAAAAGTACTCCATGTAGGGTTACTGACATTGTGGATCTCATTGTCCAATGTAGGAGTTACAGCATTCTTTTGCTCATGATTTTTTGGCTGCTGTCAGCTTCCCTGCGTTCCACTGAGGTCATTTCCAGGATGTTGTGATGTCACTTTTGGTGCGCGACCCTCGTTGACACCGAGGAGGTCTTTTCTGGTTCCTTTTACCCCTCAAATGGCATCTCACCAGACTGCTGGCTTGTGGATACTATTTTTTACCAACTGCTGTTGTTCACTACTCTTCCATCTGTGGAGTTCACCATCCAGGCTCCCTATAGCCATGTCTACATACAAGTAAGCCGCTCCCACCATTCCTTTCAGCCTGTGGCTCGTGCCAATCCTTGTCTTGCACCATACTATTTCATGGATACATTTCAGCATGGTGATTGTGGTTTTATTGGTCTATTAAACTTTTGTATTATACATATTGACTGCTGGATATGTACACCATTGCTTTTTATTTCCTGGCTTTCACCATGAGCACTCTGCTTTTCTCTGCTTTTTCCACATCACATTATACTCCTAGTGGTCATCGGCTGTGGAACTGGCCTTGCTTCACCCTTGTCTTACCTGACGTTGGTTGGTTTAGGGCCTAGTGGTCTGTCTTTTTTGCTTATGGTTACATTGGTCCAAGCTGGTCCAATGTAACCATAAAAATATCCACAACTGGAATTCTTTATTAAATGACTGCTCAGTACCAGGGCTGATGTTAGAAACCATGGGGCCCCATACAGCAAACATGACAGGGCCCTCCCCCCAAACAAAAACATAGTTTACTATGCTTCATTAATGAATGAACACAGTGAGTAATCAGTACCGATCACTTATTGTGTTCATCATGCTGAAGGATCCTATTATGTGCTTGCAGTTACCAGTGGGAGGGAGAGGAGGGAACCCAGGAGCACTGGGGGGGGGGGGGGTGCACACAGAGGGGCCTGGGCAACATTGGGAACGTATGGTGCACAGCTAGGATGATGGGTGCAACGGGGGGGAAATTACTGGAATCAATACACTGTATGGTTCTTTCTGCAGCACCCGAATGCCAGCAGGAAGGAAAGGAGGAGAAGAAGCCAGTGTTCAGCTGCTGCAGAGAAAACTATACAGGGGATCAGTTCCAGTAATTGCACTCCCACCATGCCGATCAACCTCCCTACGCACATCCAATTTATTCAGCTACCTGGGCCCCCCTGCTGGCCTGGGCCCTCTACAGGAGAACTGGTAGTATCCCCTTATCCACAGCTCTGCTCTGTACCTATGGGATGCAGGTAGGAGTGTGTCTACGCCCTGACATAGAAATATAAAAGACTGAAAGCAGAAAAAGGTCAAATGATCCAATAACCCCCCTCCCCCCTCTTTTTTTGGTATAGACCTATGTTTATTCCAAGCTTTTTTAGATTTACTTATTATTTCTTTTACTCACTATTTTTGTTGGAAATCTGTTCTAAGCATCCACTACTCTTTTGGTGAAACAGACTTTCTAACGTTCTCATGAAGATATCGCCTTGTAATCTGAGGTCGTGTCCCCGTGTTCTTAAAGCAGTATTAAAGGATAAGTTCACCTTTTACCAAAAAAATAATAAATGCACATTTTTTTGCAGGCAAAAAAAACATGCATTTACTATTTTTTGGAGCCTGGAAAGCTTTGCACTAATGATCAGTAGATCACTGGTGCCATGCAGGGCTTCTGCAGACCTGCCAATGTATCTGTGTAACTGTACCTCGTATGGGCAAGCAGATACAGGTGAAACTCCAAAAATTAGAATATCGTGCAAAAGTTCAATTATTTCAGTAATGCAACTTAAAAGGTGAAACTAATACATGAGATAGACTCATTACATGCAAAGCAAGATATTTCAAGCCATGATTTGTCATAATTGTGATGATTATGGCTTACAGCTCATGAAAACCCCAAATCCACAATCTCAGAAAATTAGAATATGACATGCAATCAATAAAACAAGGATTGTACATAGAACAATATCGGACCTCTGAAAAGTATAAGCATGCATATGTACTCAGTACTTGGTTTGGGCCCCTTTTGCAGCAATTACTGCCTCAATGCGGCGTGGCATGGAAGCTATCAGCCTGTGGTACTGCTGAGGTGTTATGGGGGACCAGGATGCTTCAATAGCGGCCTTCAGCTCTTCTGCATTGTTCGGTCTCATGTCTCTCATCTTTCTCTTGGCAATGCCCCATAGATTCTCTATGGGGTTCAGGTCAGGCGAGTTTGCTGGCCAATCAAGCACAGTAATCCCACGGTCGTTGAACCAGGTTTTGGTGCTTTTGGCAGTGTGGGCGGGTGCCAAGTCCTGCTGGAAAATGAAGTCAGCATCCCCATAAAACTCCTCTGCGCAAGGAAGCATGAAGTGCTCCAAAATCTCCTGGTAGACGGCTGCATTGACCCTGGACTTAATGAAGCACAGTGGACCAACACCAGCAGATGACATGGCTCCCCAAATCAACACAGACTGTGGAAACTTCACTCTGGACTTCAAGCATCTTGCAGTGTGTGCCTCTCCATTATTCCTCCATACTCTGGGTTCTTGGTTTCCAAATGAGATGCAACAGTTGCTCTCATCAGAAAAGAGGACATTGGACCACTGAGCAACAGACCAGGTCTGTTTTTCTTTAGCCCAGGTAAGACGCTTCTGACGTTTGTTGTTCAGGAACGGTTTGACAAGAGGAATACGACATTTGAAGCCCATGTCCAGGATCCGTCTGTGTGTGGTGGCTCTTGATGCGCTGACTCCAGCCTGAGTCCACTCCTTGTGAAAGTCCCCAGGACTTTTGAATAGCCTTTTCCTGACAATCCTCTCCAGGTTGCGGTCATCCCTGCTTCTTGTGCACCTTTTTCTTCCACACTTTTCCCTTCCACATAACTTTCTATTAATGTGCTTTGATACAGCTCTTTGGGAACATCCAACTTCTTTTGCAATTACCTTTTGAGGCTTTCCCTCCTTATGGAGGGTGTCAATGATGGTTTTCTGCACAACTGTCAGGTCAGCAGTCTTTCCCATGATTGTGATTCCTACTGAACCAGACTGAGAGACCATTTAAAGGCTCAGAAACCCTTTGCAGGTGTTATGGCTTAATTAGCTGATTAGAGTGGGACACTTTGAGCCGAGAATATTGCACCTTCTCACAATATTCTAATTTTCTGAGATTGTGGATTTGGGGTTTTCATGAGCTGTAAGCCATAATCATCACAAATATGACAAATCAAGGCTTGAACTATCTCGCTTTGCATGTAATGAGTCTATCTCATATATTAGTTTCACCTTTTAAGTTGCATTACTGAAATAAATGAACTTTTGCACGATATTCTAATTTTTTGAGTTTCACCTGTAGTCCAATCCAGCTAAGAGACACTCCCAGAGAGACCCGCATCCAAGCAGCAATAATAGACAAGCAATCTGTCCAACAACATTGCCAATCCAAATACCAATCATCAATTGACCTTTACCACTGTACAACTTCTCTCCACTCCCTGCTGTTTCCACAGACCACAGCAATGTCATACAGTGATGATCACAGTGAGCAGTCAGTCAGGCTACGGCATCGCTCTTCTTCCAGACTTCCACACAGCCTTGAGAGCCTGCCGCCAAGGACGCATGGGGGTTTATTTACTAAAGCTGGAGAGTCCAAAATCAGAGTCACTTCTGCATAGAAACCAATCAGCTTCCAGGTTTCATTGCCAAAGCTTCATTGAACAAGCTGAGGTTAGAAGCTGATTGGTTTCTATGCAGAAGGGAGTCTGATTTTGGACTCTCCAGCTTTAGTAAATAAACACCATGCTGTCTGCAGGTAGAGGCAGAATACAGTTGATATCACTCCACCTTCCCTTCCAGTGCAGTGCAGCAGCCGGAACTATTGAGCTGACCCAAGCCCTATCACCAATAGCTCACTTTGTAGCTGCTCTCCAGCCTCCAGGATAGCCCAGAAAAAAAGCCCTGGCATTGGTTAGGCAAATTAGGAGGCCAGGAGGCTCCTGTAAGTGTGAGGCCTTAGGCAACTGCCTAATTTGCCTAATTATAGAGACACCTCTGCACACTACAAATCCCATAGAACTGAATGTGTCTGCAGGTAGATGTGTAGTCCATCTCAGGGGTAAGCAGGAAAGGGCGGCTACGTTCATTTTTCATGCCTCCCTTGTGTATGTGAATGTAGCCACCCTTTCTGGCTCATCACCCCTAAGATGGACTATGCATTTACCAGCAGACACATTCAAGTTGGCTACGTTCACATACACATGGGGGGCATGGAGAATGAACATAGCCACCCTAGAACAGGGAGTCTGAGAATACTGAAAAAAGCTTGCATTTGAGAGATGAAACAAAGGAAAAGGAGCTAGAAGGTACATCCCAGTTATATGGAGACATATGAAGGCTAGGTTAACACCTATGCAGGTTGTGTTTGACCTGTTTATGCATTGCGTTTTGCGTTGCGTTTTGCATTTTTGCACCTGTGTTTTTGTCACTTTTGCTTTTTTTTTTTTTGTTGCTAGGCAGATTGAAAACCCAAAATACATAAAAAATGTGGCAAAAACGCAGCAAAAACACAATACATGCTTTTCTCCAGCTTTTCCACTGAAGTCTACAGAACCAAAAAAGTCCCTGACCCTTTCCAAAAACCGCACCGGATGAAAACGCGGAGATGTGAACATGTCCCATAGGAAATCATGTTAAATGGATTGTACTGCGTTTCTGCAAAACACAAAACGCTGCAGAAAACAATTAGGTGTGAACCTAGGGTGAGGCTCCATGTACATCAGCATTTTTGTAAGCTCCTAAAAGTTGTTATCAGCATTTTGTTCTGCTACTAGAAGCTAAATAACGTTTTCCTATGTGTTCATACATACTACTTTAGGCTATTAGAGACTATTAGCGTTTTCTGAGCTTTTCGCTGCATTCATATTTGAGCGTTTTGTAACTTGAAGCTTGAAGCTCCCAAAAAGCTCAAACTTAAAAAAAACAATTGTTCTCTATGGTGCCTGTTCGCACCTGATCGCGCGAACAGGCTACATAGAGAACAATTGATTTTTTTAAGTTTGAGCATTGTTGGAGCTTCGAGCTTCAAGTGTGAATGCAGCCTCAGTGTCTAGGGGCAGAAAAAAATAGTTTTTGTAGTGTTTTCTGTAGTGTTTTTTTCCAGCAGAAAAAAAAAACTAAATGCTCCTAAATGCTGCTAAACGCAACTAAAATGCTCATAACAGCTTTTTTCTAGCTTCATTCTACATGTAATGTAAAAACACTAAGGCTCCATGTACACTGCAGCTGATAAACTCACGTTTAGGAGCTTTTTTGCATTTTTTTCAGCAGCCCCTGAACTCTCTCTAATGTTTTCCTATGTGTCCATGTACACATCGTCGTTCACAGTCGTGTACAGGTAGTTGAGTTTACAGTCGTTTTTTTTAACGCACCAAACGTACGTTCAGCAGGAGATTTTATCAGCGTTTCAAACGCTAAACGCTTGTAAGCGCGTGTAAACACATGTAAATGCGGCTAACTGCGTTTATAAGCGTTTGCATTTGGAATTTTTTTTTAACTCTTCCATTTCCACATGCTGTCCAGAGCCTTTTTTCATCATGAAAAATGCATGTAAAGTGTTTTCCCGGTACTCAAATGGACCTGGTACGCCATACTTTGAGGTTTTGCATGAAAGAAAATATGTTAGACACTGCTGCAATAGTTTCTGCACAGAAATGAGCTGGAACACATCCAAACACCACACAAAAAAATAAGATGGCTAATCTCAACATATACTGCTCTCTCTGCTTCTGCTATCTTTATTTCTCTCAAAATGTCTGAAATAGTTAATTTTTTTTTACTGTTTTTCAGTGCATTCTGGTCATTTTGGAAGGTTTTCTGAGGTTATCTTTAAAAAACGCTTCAAAACGCAAATGCGCATAACACGGCTAATCAGACTTTTTTGACCTACGTTTTCCAGCAGTCAGTTTCCATCCTTCAGAAGTGTCCCGTGTACATGGAGCCTAACACTCCTAAACGCTACTAAAACATTACTAAAAAATGTTACTATCAACATTTTTTATCCAGCGTTTTTTTAGGTTAATAAAAAGGCTGGTGTGCATGGAGCCTTAGGCATTTCTTTTATTTTGTAAAAAATGTGAGTTTAGTGTCAGTTTAATTGTGATATGTAACATTCTGTAGAAAGAAATGTCAAATGCCCATCAATGAAATCAGAGACATTACAACAACCAGAGTCCACACGTCACTAATTTATTACTATACACATGATATTGATGCATCTGCTTGTACATGGTTGTAAGGTATATACACTGTACACTTTATATACACGTGTGTACAATTTAACTGTTTACATACCTGAGCTCTGCTAGCTGTAGAAATTCTTTGTATCAAAAAAGTATCAGCATATCTTTCCCTTTTATTATTTTGCCATTCTAGACTTGTATAAAATAAAACCCTATTTCTACACTCTTAGCTATATGAATGATTTAAAAGATGGTAAATATGTGATGTTAGTATCAGGTCCTAAAAAATCTGTATTTAAATTTCACTGTTCAGAAAGAAGTGCTTGAATGGATCATGGGTTCAAAAGGTGGTGTAAAACTTACACTCAGTAGCAAATCATTAAACAATATAGACTAAACCTTTTTTTTTGTCAAATTGATAAGCACAAGTGACCCATTTAACAATAAAAGGAGTACAAAGTCATTGTAAAATCTCAGTTCAGGTGATCTGTGAAATCAGGGCAAACAGTCTCAGACTAGAGTCACTTCGGAGCCATTAAAGTGTTACTAAACCCAGGACCCTGCATCCACTATATCTGGTCTCCCCGGACCCTGCATTCACTATATCTGGTCTCCCGGGACCCTGGATCCACTTTATCTGGTCTCCCCGGACCCTGCATTCACTATATCTGGTCTCCCCGGACCCTGCATTCACTATATACGGTCTCCCCGGACCCTGCATTCACTATATACGGTCTCCCCGGACCCTGCATTCACTATATACGGTCTCCCCGGACCCTGCATTCACTATATCTGGTCTCCCCCGAAACCTGCATTCACTATATCTGGTCTCCCCGGACCCTGCATTCACTATATCTGGTCTCCCCGGACCCTGCATTCACTATATCCGGTCTCCCCGGACCCTGCATTCACTATATCCGGTCTCCCCGGACCCTGCAGTCACTGTATCCGGTCTCCCCGGACCCTGCATTCACTATATCTGGTCTCCCCGGACCCTGCATTCACTATATCCGTCTCCCCAGACCCTGCATTCACTATATCCGGTCTCCCCGGACCCTGCATTCACTATATCCGGTCTCCCCGGACCCTGCATTCACTATATCTGGTCTCCCCCGGACCCTGCATTCACTATATCTGGTCTCCCCGGACCCTGCATTCACTATATCCGGTCTCCCCGGACCCTGCATTCACTATATCCGGTCTCCCCGGACCCTGCATTCACTATATCCGGTCTCCCCGGACCCTGCATTCACTAGATCCGGTCTCCCCGGACCCTGCATTCACTATATCCGGTCTCCCCAGACCCTGCATTCACTATATCCGGTCTCCCCAGACCTTGCATTCACTATATCTGGTCTCCCAGGACCCTGCATTCACTATATCCCGTCTCCCCGGACCCTGCATTCACTATATCTGGTCTCCCCGGACCCTGCAGTCACTTTATCTGGTCTCCCTGGACCCTGCATTCACTACATCTAGTCTCCCACACTACACAGAACATGGAAAAGCAATTATTTTAGTAAATATAAACTGCTAAATACCTTTTCTCATCAGCAGTTAGAGCAGTCTTGTGACTTCTATCAGTGTTCAGCAGAGCACTGGTTAAAGCTTGTAGGAGTTTTCTTTTCTGCTATAGGAGGAAGCAAAACCCATGACCCTCTGTCTGGACAGCACTGATTGGCCCTGAGCTGATCACATGCACTCTCCCAAGAAAAAAAAAAAACCTCTCTAGCAATACACACCACAGTGCAAATGCCTACAATTAAGTATGTCTTATCAGGAGATAAGAAGTGGTTGCTTGAAAAAGGGGAGGAACAGAGACAAAAGGATCATACTTCCTTTTTACACAATGCTGAGGATTAACCCCTTAGGTTCCACAGTAAATATAACTAGCATGCTTTACTGCATATACAGACTGATTTTACTGTTGTGGGTTTAGTAACACCTTAATAAATAAAAGGATGCGGCCTACAATAGGATATTAATAATATATTTTATGCGTACTAACTATTCCAAACTATGAATGATACTCTGAATTCTAAATATATATGGGCCATGACCATAAATTATAGTCAGTTCTACATTTAATTTGTGTTAGCCTTTTGAAGGCCTATAGAATGTCAGGGAACAGAACAGTAGCATCCTTTGTTCAAGCATTCTCAGTCTGACAGTGAATGTGCTGCTACATAAAAGACAGGCCTGCCTCTCCAGCTTTATATGGGGTTAACATGAATTCCTGCATAGACTAAACCAACAGCAATGGGTAAAGGACATCTATGTCAGATGGATTTAAAGTGGCTGTAAACCCTTACATATACCCAGTGAAGTGACGGGCTTCAGGTGATACACAGAGATGAAACAAATCCTCCTACATACGTTGTACCTGTTTATCTGCAGTATTGTCTTCTTTACATCCATTCAAAGTGCTGAATTTGTAAAGCTTGTCTGAAGGTTTAGAAAAAAAGAGGGCATGGAGCTGAAATTACAGTCTGCATAGCTCAGGGATGAGAGCTCTAAGCGCTGATTGAAAGTAAGAGACACCCCCCCCCCCTACACACACACCCCTTTTACACAGCACACAGGAACAGAGCCAAGGCTGTCAATCTGCTGGAGGTTCCTCCCCTGTTACCAATTTTCTCTTGGTGTCAGGAAAACTTGTCAGAAGTGATTCATGTTGATAGCAGAGGAACGAGGCAGCAGACATAAATACCACTTAGTGCTTTTAATTCAGAGCAGTACACACTATAGAGGGATTTGCTTTGTTCATATTTCACGTCTGAGGTTTACAACCACCTTAAGTTAATTAACCACTTGCCCGCCGCCCTAAAGTAGAAATACTGCTACAGGCCAGTAGGGCTGCGCAAAATCACGTATATATCCGTGATTTTGCATTACTGGGTAGGGGGTGCGCCCTACCCGCGCCGCCATTGGTGGCTTCAGCTGTTGATCACTGGGTCCTAGCTGGTGATTCTCGGCCGGCACCCGGCGATCGCTGAGTGTCACTGACAGGGGAGAGGTCTGTATGTAAACAATACAGTTCTCTCCCCTGTCAGCTCCAGCATACTGCTTTGAATGGCTCTGCATAGCATTTCTGTCTTCAGCAATCTGTGCCTCTGTTGAATGTGTTTCAGCTAATATGAATCATTTAGTTACTAAAGTAGGTGAAATGATGTGATTTGAATTTACCATGAAATATTACCCTACTGAGCCTACTATTTTAAAGTGTACTTGTCACAAGGAAACTATGTGGGCTGCCATTGCTTGCCTTGTTTTCTACAAATGATGATTACCCGGCACTGTCTAGCTTTGGAGTTTCATACTCAGAGACCCAAAAAAAGCATCCCACAAATAAAAGTTGGATAAAGGCCACATCTCTTAACTTTTTAATGGTGACAGTGACTCAGAAAGCACATGAGATAAAGCATCAGCATAGCAACCAAGAAAATGGCATTTTCAGGACAGGTCAACAGTGCTAGCCTATGGATTTCCTTCATGACAGGCATGTAAGGGTATTGCCAGATTACAGCCCCAGACCTATCATTTCAACCAATACCAAAAAACAGGTCCACATCTGCTCAACCATAGCTTAAAATGGTTGTGAACTCTTAAAATATATTAAGTGAAATGAGTGGCCTCACATGATACACAAAGATGAAACAAATCATCCTACATAAGTTGTACTTGTTTATCTATAGCCAGCTTTTCCCTACATCCATTCAAAATGCAGAATTCACACATGATCTCTCAGCTCTGAAAAGCAGGGGGTGGGGACCTGAAGTTACTTCAATGAGGGGAGCTTTGAGAGCTGATTGGAGGGAAGGGACACACACCCCTTCACACAGCTCACGGGAACAAAGCTGAGGCTGTCAATCTGCTGGACCCTACCTCCCCATCACCATTTTTCTCTTGATGTCAGGAAAACCAGAAGTGACTCATTCTGATAGCAGAGGATCAAGGCAGCAGACAGAAATGACACTTAGAGCTCTGGATTGAGACAAGTACACACTATAGAGGGATATGCTTTGTTCATATTTCATGTCTGAGGTTTACAACCGCTTTAATTGTATGAATGAGATATATAAAGGTTAATAAAGCCTTGCCGCATTTCCTACAAAGTGTTTATTTGTAAGTATAGCTTTTGTCCTTACAAATAAGTGTCTTTTTTTCTTGATATTAACCTTAATATCCAATTCATAAAATAAACCTACAGTAAGTCCTCATGCACACTGGACGTATTTACAGCTGCTGTGTTTTTGGATGTTTTTTGGCCAAAAAAAAAAGTTTTTTTTTATTTAAAAAACAAGTGCGGGAAAACGCCGATAAACTCTAATGCAAAAATGCTAAAAAAAAAACTCACGTTTTTAACGTGTCTACACAGCAAACGTTACCAGCAATATCAAAACACCCCGTGTGCATAGAGCCTTAGTCCTCATGCACACTTGACATTTTTACAGCGGCTGTTTTTGGCTTTTGATGGGTTTTTCTCTACAGCCAGCAAACCCCCCAGCATGTTATCCTATGTGTCCATGCACGCATAGACTGTAATCAATGTTTTTTGACTGGAAAAAACCCCAGGACTAGTGGGTTCTAGAGGAGTTTTTTAGCTGTAAATACGCTCTAATGCTGAAAAACGCGGCAAAACGTGGTACAACGTGGTAAACCGCCTCAAACTGGCATTTTTGGACTTTTTTTGACCCCCCCAAATGTTTGGGGGGGATAAAAAAGCTAAAATGCTCAAATATGGAAAAACGTGTCAAAACGCCGCTAACCACTAATGCAGAAATGCTAAAAAAAGCTGAAAAACTCATGCACACTTGACATTTTTACAGCGGCCCGTTTTTGGCTTTTGATGGGTTTTTTTTCTACAGCCAGCAAACCCCCCCAGCCTGTTATCCTATGTGTCCATGCACGCATAGACTGTAATCAACGTTTTTTGGCTGAAAAAACCCCCAGGACTAATGGGTTTCTGGAAGAGTTTTTAAGCTGTAAATATACTCTAACGCTGAAAAACGTGGCAAAACGTGGCAAAACATGGTAAAACGCAGCAAATCTGCATTTTGGACTTGTTTTGACCAAAAAAAAAAAATTTTTTTGTGGAAAAAAAGCAAACACAGAAAAACGTGAAAAAAACAGCTAAACGCGGCAAACCTCTGCTAAACGCTAATGCAAAAACGCAAAAAATAAAGCTGAAAAACTGACGTTTTTAACGTGACTTTACACAGCTAACGTTACCAGCGTTATCAAAGCGTCCCGTGTGCATGAGGACTTAAACAGAGAGCTACACATACTCATTTTTTGGATATTGATTGCATGTGGAGGAACTTGGCAAGGTATGTAAGTCTGACTCCCTTACAGCAGTAGGGATTTCGTTACTTACTATCATTGCAATCCTCTGTCCTGAGAAAACTTCACTCCTCAAGTTGGAGATGATCTTTTATGTCACTACAAAAAAAGGTTCAAGGCAGATTCCCAGTTTTCCTAAAAACCCCATTTAGATAAATATTTTACCCAACTAGTGTTTAATAGAATGGCGTACACAAAGCAGAGAGCCAAGAGGGCTTTCTGTAAAACATTTTGGCTTTAAGGCAACTACTTGTTTGCAGTTTTGTCAGTAAGTAAAAACGTTTCCCTTCTCTTCAGCTCGGCAACTAAAGCTTTTTTCATAATTAAAGCATGCAAAGAAATCACTGCCAATAGTTTAATATGGATGTCAGGCATCCTGCCTAAGAATGTGAAAACATTTCAGCTGTGCTCTAGTACTGCATAATAAATATTAATTTCAGCTTTACATCTGAGTACTGTCCTTGATACTTTTTTTATTTGCACTAACATATAATTTTGAGGACAAGCTTTCGGGGAGTGTCCCCTTCTTCAAGGTCCAAACAGTACTATACTATACTGTACTATACTACTTGGACCTTGAAGAAGGGGACACTCCCTGAAAGCTTGTCCTCAAAATTATATGTTAGTGCAAATAAAAAAAAGTATCACGGACAGTACTCAATTGTTTCTGTCGCAAATGCACTAATACGGCTACAATCACCTCAAGCTTTACATCTAAATGGCAGACCAACATGGGTCTAATCAGCATTCAGAGACCTCGGCTCTCTACAAGCATTAGAATGATGCTGAAAAGCAGTACTCAACCGAACCGATCTACCAATTATGACATCAATATTAAATCACTTGTGTGTAAGTCACATTTCTAAGCTATTGTCTACATGGAAGGTGCTGGAGAGAAGGAATGTTATTGTGTTGAACATGGTTCACCCTCCCACAGCAATCTAATTTACTGTATATACGAACGCCCCCTTTTGCTAAACCAGCAAGGCAAGAGGTAATGCATGGAAAGAGGAGGCTTGACATGCAAGGCAAACAAAAGGCTGGTCTACTGCTGTAATTAGCTCACTTTGGTCCAAAGAGGAGTAATCCTTTGCTGACAGATGGGATTACAATGCATTGCAGACCATGTAGACTCTGCAGTGGTTGATCATTATATCC